TCGTTCAGGCATCTCTACCCCCGTCTACCATTGCTTATGCAAATGCTATGAAAGACGCAACCGTTCATCTCGAGAAAGGCCTCGTATGCGGTACTCACCTCTTCTCTATCCTTTATTTTGCACATTTTATTGTCCTCTCAATTACTTATCGATTCCTCTTAATTGTAAACCAATTTATAACTTTTTTGTTTTAAATATAATTATTTTGTTCGTAAATGCAATTCAAGTATTTGTCGAAAATATTAAATAGTTTCCACTTATCCCACAAAATGCCAGAAATTACTGTATATTTGGCATTAAAATTGAATATTTTATACAAAAATACTTTTTTTAAACAGACTATTCATACCGTTATAAATATCATAAATAGTATCCAAGGCTTGCTTTTCTAAAATTAATGTTGTGTTTCTAATGTTTGCCTAAATCTCTGTTTCCAAAAATAGTTTATTTTCATTATTTGCTTCATTTATTAAATATTGGCAAATGTTTTCTCTGTACCCAAAGCCACATAAAATTTATAAATTAACAATTTTATCATCTAAAGGGGTGCACTGTATAGGCTTTTATTGCACTATTATTGCCTAAAATTATTGCATTCCTTTAGAGATCTTTTAACAATTTCTTGGCATAAAAACTAATAATAAAAAACTAGTTTATTATTAGTGTTTATTCACGAAACCAATTGAATAAAGTTTGATTGAATTCACGACACATAAGATCATAATTGTAATGAATTGATTGCAGCCCCAATCGGTGCCTTGACTTCATTAACATCGGGCAACTCTAATACGGGTGTCACATCTCCGCCGATCAATGACCAAGGTCCCATTATTGATTGTGTCGTACGTATTTATTCATATAAGCAATTGACTTACTAGTGAACTATACTAACTATTATACCCGATTGAATCACTACTATATGCTGTGTTATGTATGGATCAGTTGACGCCGTGGTCTCAATGGACTCCGTGTTCGCGTTCGTGTGGAAGCGCTCGCAAAGAAAGGAGACGTGAAATCAAACTTAACGCACAAAACGGCGGCAAAGCGTGTCCTAAAAGACTGGTTCAAAGAAGGAAATGCAAAGATAATCCCGATTGTGGTCAGCATTTGACTAATTATTACTTTCAAAGCAGTGCTTATTCGCGAACTAATGCTTTCAATGTTTAATTTTGTCCTCAAAATCTATAGCGGATTTTAAGCCAAATATTTACTCATTTACTAACAAATTATCGACAAAAAGCCCGAAAAAGCATAAACATTATCACCAACACTACTAACACCTAATTATTCATCTCGTTTTGTATTAAATAAAAAATAACAAAAAAAAATAATTATAATCTTCAGACCAGTTACCAGTCGATTGTAAAATGGGTTCGTGGGGTGAGTGGTCTACCTGTTCAAAGGTTAGGCCCATTCATTAAATACACGTTTTATGCTTTTATACATCATTATATGTGATTTGAATATTTGTTTGTTCTCTGTTTATTGGCAGACATGCGACGGACAGGGCTTCAGATTTCGTCAAAGAAGTATTTCTGTCAACGCTTCCAACGGAGGCATCGCTTGCGGACCGCAATTCAATCGAGAAATCTGTGAAAACTTTAGACCTTGTTATTAATGTGTCACCAAAATGACCCCGATTATTGTTTTCATTATGTCTAATGAATAAATGTCTGATAAGTCTTCCTCTATTTATTGTCGTAAATACAACACAATTGAAGCCTTAATTGAAGTAATCATTTGGTCTACTGTTGGAAGCAATCAATTCAAATAAAGTCATTCTTTTGTAGACTATTTCTACATATTATATACAAAAATACTATTGAATTATTAAAGTAATTGTTAATCTAATTTATAATTTTAATTTTCAAAAACAAAACATTCATATACTGTATGTTAAGCCCAACTCATGCTTTCAATAGATGAACAAAATATTACTTAAAATATGAGAAAAGTTGTTAACATTTTGTATATAAAAGTGAAATCATCTATAATTTTGCTTCAATTACAGTGTGTTCAAGCATTAACGCGTGTTTTGATTTTTTTATTATTCAAAAAGTACAAAAGATATTTTAATCAAATCAATTGCAAATTAAAGATAAATGTTTGGCATTTAATTAAAAATATTTTCA